AGCAAAAACAAAGACTCAAAAGTAGAAGAAGCAAAGTTGAATTGGTCAAGGGACCATGGGAAGCCCATGGCTGTGGAAAAGGTGCCCAGGGAAGGTGGCTGGTGCCCTGTGCAATAAGCCACCTACCTCAGTGGGAGCTGAGAGTCAGGACATGGGGGGTTGATCTGTTGCTCTTTTTTTCTCCTGTACTGAGATTTGAACCCAGAATCTTTGCACTGAGCTACATCCCCCAGCCTCATTTTATTTTATTATTTTATTTTGAGACAAGGTCTTGCTAAGTTTCCCAAGGTGGGCCCAAACTTGCTGTCAATCTTGCCTCAGCCTCTAAGAGTGCTGGGATGATAGGCATGTGCCTCTGCTCCTGGCAATGGTCTGTTGCTTTCACCATTTTACCCCATTCCCTGTAGCCCCTTCCCCACTGCATCGCCAGAGAAAAGGCTGTGTGTCTGCAAATCCTTACGTAGAGGATATATAGGACTGTCTCTGCAAGTAACAGAGGTGTGTCCCTCTGGGGAACTCAGCAGAGGTAAAAAGAGTTATGACAGCTGGTGGCTCCTGAAAAACTACCTCTGAGGAAAAACACAATGGAAGTCAGGACACACCACTTTCAGGTGAAGGTCTCCCCTGCTATGAGTGAGCCCTCCCCTCCGAGGACCATTCCACATCCCCGAGACAGCAAAGCCCTCTTCGAACCCAGAATCACGGAGAGATGGCAAACCCTACCTCTAAGTAGAGGAGTGGAAGCAGTGAGAGTGACAGCTGGACATGTCTAAGTGCTAAATTGAGAAGATAAAGGTGACAATACAGCAATAGTCACATGTCGCCTAACGGGGGGATGTATTCTGAGAAATGTATCCTTAAGTGACTTCATCACTGTGCAAACAAATGTACTTACACAAACCTAAATGGTGTAGTCTCCCATGTGCCAGGGCTACATGATGTGCACACGTGCGCATGCATGCACGCACACACACACACTACTCAGTAAACCAGAGATACGTGAGTCTGTTGTGGGCATCACACAGACTGTTTTACAGTAGTCTTTTATAAATAGCAGGAGTACAGACTAAAATAATGATAAAAGTAGTAAATATGGAAATCGGTAATGCCATCCTTTATTAACGTTATAGAGTATTATCTGCTGTACTGATTACATATACTCTGCTTGTTAACACCAGCATCATGGCACACACAGGAGTGATGTGTCATGCCACCACATTGCCTCAGGTGTGATAGCACTAGGTGACAGGAACTTCCCAGCTCTGTTATAATCTCATTGGACTGCCTTTGTATACTCGTTCCACCACTGACCAAAATGTTGCTACACAGGATATACTATATTTTAATATTTTTGCTACTCTTTGGCTTTTTGTATTTTTTTAATTTAAAGAGAATAAAAAGTTTTAAAAACATTAAAAACGATAGAGGATTTCAAAACTAGATGATAGGAAATCAACAATGGTTGTTATATTGCATATTATTATTTTCAAAGTGGTTGCTCAGATTACCTGAAATAGTCATGCAAAACTGATCAAAAAATGAATTGGTTCCTTTCAATAAACCAGTAGATGTTAGTGGTACAATTATCTTAGCTATCTTGTGCATATATTTTTCCCTTCCTTCTTCCTTTTTTTCTCCTTTCCCCCATTCCAGTTGTTCCTTCCTTTTGGACAGTTTCTTTCCCTTTCACATTATCTATTATATCTTTTGGATATTATTTACTCTTTCGGTTTCTTACTCTTTGTCTTTTGATGTCCTGAAGTTTCAAACTTTTTTTTGGCGGTGGTGGTGGTAGTACTGAAGATTGAACCCAGACCCTTTGAGGTGAGCTACATGCCCAGCCCTTTTCTAGTTTTTATTTTGAGATATGGTCTCACTAAATCACTAAATTGCCCTGGCTGGGTTCAAACTGTTGATCCTTTTTCCTCAGCCTCCCAGAGTGCTAGAATTATATGCATGTGCCTCTATTACCAGCCCAACTCACGGTGATTAAATAACTAAAATCTTTGCCTAAGCGTAGAGGTAGCCCCTGGTTTGTCAGATTCTAATACAAAATTGAAGATTAATTAGTCCAGAATGCAGAGGTCCTTGAAGCCCCTGTTTCTCAACTGGGGCAAGATGGAGAAGCTAATATGTTGAGAAAAACCTAGAAGCAGAAAGTCCAGGTGTGTGGGATATGGGAGAAGAGACAGCTTTGGCAGCACTGTATTCAGGAATCACAAGAAAAGAGGAAGAGATGGGTCTATGTGGGAGGGGGCAGAGTATAGACTGCAGTGTGGGGGTCTGTTCTTTGTCCTGGGGGAGCAGCTGGAGGCAGGATTTGGGCAGATGGGACAGAACCTCTGTCTAAAGCTGTCTCAGGAGCATCAATCTTCTCTCCTGTTCTCCTTTCCTGATACATCCAAATGCCCTCAACTACCTCACCTTCCCCATTCCCCATATCTCCCTCTGCATCCAAGAATGGGAGGCAGCTGGGTCAACTGAGGCCAGGGATGGGGATAGAGTGAGAAATAAGGTGAGCAGCTCATATTTCTGCTCTGCAGGACCTGGGAGCTGGACTATTGCACCAACAATCATAAGATGAAGCACCTGGGAAGAGAGTCCAGGGGCACTGAAAGATCTGGATCTACCAGCAGTAGCATCTCCCAGAGCACTCAAGTTGACCCCCGTTTCAGAATTTCCCCCCAGGCCCTGGCAAAGCAGTGTACTCAGTGTGATTTTAGAGACATTTGTCAGGGTATGTCAGTGCTTGAGGTTGTCATGATTAGGGAGTAAGCAGCACTGGCATGCAGTAAATAGATCCTGGGCAAGCCGCTAAATAGCCTACAAGGCACAGCACAGCCTCCTACAAGGAATTATCTGCCCCAGCATGCCGGCGGTGCTGAGGATGAGAGGTAAGCCCTGTGCAAAGGCTTAGGTTTCAGACAGAGCAGGGAAGCAGGAGCCCTCACACTGCCTTCCTGGACCTCTGGCCAGCACTCCCCGGGTCAGCATCCTCTCCAGAGACAGCTCCAGGAGGGGCATCACAGGGAGTTCCTATGAGCAGCACCTCCCAGCATGGGGGCGAGGATGAGAGGCAGGAAAGTTACCCGTAAGGCGAGAGGACTTCAGTCCCACACTCTCCCCACTTAGCCCCATCCAGCGACAAGGGCACAAGCGAGAGCTGCCGGTAGTTTCTGCACCTCAACCACCTGTCCCCTGAAGGAGTCAGGTGACCCTGGGGTCCCAAGTGAGTGGGGAGAACCCTAGGATCTTACCTCAGTAATCAAAGGCCCCAAGAGGTTTGCACAATCCATAGTTCTTACTTCCCTCTGTTTCCAGCCATGTGTATGTTAGTGTGAGTGTGTGAATGTGAGTGTGTGAGTGTGTGTGAATGTGAGTTATGTACGTGTGTGTGTGTGAGTGTGAGTGTGTGTGAGACTGTGTGTGCACCCACACATATGTAAACAGGACTCACTTAACAGGAGAAAACCTGCCTCAGAAATCACCCATGTCCACCTGTCTATCCGTGGGCTCAGCTCCTTAGCGACTCCAGGGCCACATTGTCGGAAGCCAATGACAGATGCCCAGGAGATAGAAGGCAGTGGTGATACAGTGACCAGCAGCCTTTACGCAGACCAAACTGAACCGCAGGCATCGGGGTAAGACCTTCAGAACCTGAGGTGCAGCTGTGTGTCCTGCTCCCGGCTCTGACTTGTCTCCGACTGTCTCTGACTTATCTCCCCACCTGTTCCTTTCCTCACTCTTTTTTAAAATTTTTTTGGGGGGTGGGTACCGGGAATCGAACTCAGGACCTTGCGCTTGCCAGGCAGGTGCTTGTGCCTCTGAGCTATATTCCCGGCCCCCTTTCCTCACTCTTCAAATGAAATAATGTCAGTTAACATTTAGAGAACACTTGCCATGTGCCAGACACTTTACATGCATGTCATTCTCACAACAGTCCTGTGAGAATTTTTATTACCACAAAGATATGGGTAAGAAAATGGGGGTGTAAATGGCTGGTCGCAGGTCACATGGCCAGCAAACAATGGGGCTGCTACTGGAACACAGCCTGTGCAATATGGGCTGCTCCAAGGAGAGTTCGAGAGTTCTCAGGGATGTCAATACCCCAAAGTGGGGAGGGGTGCACAGGGTTCCATGTGGGTGGCATTTATTAATGGTGGAAATCCAAATTAGGGACAATCACCCACCTGGTGCACCCATACTGCCAAAGGCTAGCGGGCATATGCCCATGTAAACACGCCTCAGACCTACAGCCAAATGCCCTGCTACTGTTGGCTGGGTAGACCTGGCCCTGCTAAAAATAGAGGGCGCTCAGGTCCAACTCCCAGACGGCAGCAGGCAGCTCCCAGCCTCCCCCTCCTCTCTCCCTCCTCCCTTGCTGTCCGGGGAGGAACCCGGCTTCTAGAAGAAATACAGATTTCGAGAGAATTGTTCGCTTGATACCCATTGGGCTCAACCCAAGTTCTGGAACAGTCATAACTGGGGGTAGGTCCTCACCCCAATACACCACCCAGCTGTCTCCTCCAAAGCCCACCCAGGGAATGAGTGCAACTGCGGTGTCTGCACAACCTGCGATTCAGCATGGAGCCCCTTGCTGTCTTTCCTGCCCTGCCCAATATTGGCGGCGCTGTGCAATTTCTATATTGCCCATTGGCTTCTCTCCTGGAGGTCTGCTCCGGAGATCCGGGAACGCCGCACCCCACACTGCGGGGATGAGGCAGCACCCAGCCTGAGCAAGCAGCGCTGTAGAGCCCAGGACCCGCGCTTCAAGCGCCTGGGGCCCGAGGCCAGGGGCGCAGGGAGAGGGCTGGACCGGCCTCTGCGGACTGCAGACCGCGGCCTCGGCGCCGCGCAGGGCTCGGGCCGGGGATTTCCTTTCAAAGGTGACTTAGAGCCGCTCCCTTAGGATAGCGCCCTCCCGGGCGGGCCTTAATGGCGTGTTTGGCAGAGTCAGCGAAACGCGGCGCCCAGCGGCTCGAGGCGGGGGAGCGCCCTCTCCGCGCCCTCGCCTCTCCCGCGCCAGGCCGGGCAGCGGCGCGCGCGGGGCCATTTGCAGCGCAGGCAGCCTCGCGAGCAGCCGCGGCGACCCGGCCGGGAGGGCGGCGGCATCATGGAGCTGAAGAAGGAGAGCAACTCTGTGGCCATCGACATGCTGCTGATCGTGCACTCGGAGAAGAGGCGCGCCGCGCAGGGCGCGCACTCGGACCCCCAGGCGGAGCGCGACGCGCGCCTGCAACGCGGAGGAGGTAACTCGCGCCCGCCGGGTCCTGGGACCCCGGCGCACCCGGCCGTCCTCGCCCCAGGGCGGGCCTGCCCGCCGGGGGGCGCCTCCTGTCCCCCTGAACGAGGTCAGCGATCCCAGCCTTCTCCCCCACCGCTGCCTGTGTCCAAGCGCTTGGCAACAGCGTCTCGCGGCAACGCTTAGAGATTGTCCCAGGTTGACTCTCGTGCAGGCCTTGAGGGTGCTTCCGTCCCGTCCCTCCGAGTGCACTGTTTTCTTCCAGTCTCTCCCTGAAGAGTGCAGATCGAGGTTGGAAAACGCCCCGGAGGAAGAGTCTAGAGCCCCAGGCCGACCCCTGTGTATTGGGGCCTGCTTTCCACAACACCCTTCAACTCAGGTGTGCTCGGGGAATCTGTGCGCAGCCACACCCGTGGTGGCCGTGCACAACTAAAATACTCCGTTTCCCTTTTCTTGAGCTCTCCTCCAGCCTGCTGCAGTCAGAAGGCATGAAAGGGGTGAAAGGAGCACAGACTTGGGTGGGATAGAGTTTGAAATCTGTACTCCACTCTTGAGCTTATCCGTAGATTTTACTTGTCTAGCAGACGTCCTGGGAAGTGAAACTGGTAAAACAGAGACTGATGCTAGAGTGATAGTGTAAGATGGGACCCAGGCCTCTGCTCTCCAGACACACAAGGTGAACAGAGAATAAATGCTTAATAATGAAGGGTAGAGAAGTCTGGGGACTCGGGGGTCCTGTATCTCTGAGGAAGCCCTCTCCAGGACGGATGTGAGGGTATGCCGCTTCTTCAGCAGTGAGGCTGCAGGGCTGGGGAAATAGCTCAGAGGCACAAGCGCCTGCCTAGCGAGCACAAGGTCCTGAGTTCGATTCTCAATACAAAAAAAAGCAGTGACGCCTGATAGTGCCTGCTGGGAAATGACTTCTGCCCCCCACCTCTCTGCCAGAGCTCTTTGGAGCTCCTGCTGCTGCTCTGCCCCTGGCTCCTTTGTCCCCAGACCCGTGTGCACATGGAACATCCACAAAGAAAGGGTCTGTGGATGGCTCTCCCCAACTCCCATACAAGCTGGGGCTGCCCCACAGCTCCTGGGAAGGCTGTCAGAAGAAGGAAATAGCCTGGAGGACCGAGAATGTTGACAAATGCGCCAGTCTTGGGAGGGACTCGGGTCAGGAGTTGCTTAGGTTAGTTGGTTGTTTAGTTTCTCAGAGTAGATGTAGGAAGACAGCAGAGGTCATTAATTTCTTGATAGAAATGAAAATGTTTTTACTACCCACACCCAATCCAGAAGGCTTCCCCTGTGTGTGCTGGGTGAGGCCAAGTTCAAGATCAGCCCAAGGGTCCCCACCTCTGATCCCCTCTGACCACACCTGCCCTAAGGACTCTGACATCAAAGAGAGCAAAGAACACAAAGGAGGACCCAGCCAGTTCCACCCTGAGGGCACATCTCACCTCCGTGACTCCAGAACAAAGCACCTCAGTCTCCACCATGACTCAGCGGAGAAAGCCCCCACCCCTACCTGATAGGTGCTGTTGTTCCTACAAATATTTCCATGCTGGAGGTTTCTCAGAGATATGTCGCCTATTCACACTCAGACAGTTCTGTCATGGCCTCTGACGGCTGCTGGGCCATGATAATCTGAGACCTCAGGCTAAGCCAGCTTCAAGACCCACTCCTCAGGACACAAGCTGGGGCGAGAAAACACGGAGCTGGGCTAGCTTGTTTGAAGGCCTCCCTTGGATGTGCAACATCCAAACAAATTCCTGCCTGTTCCTAGCCATCCTTTCTGTGTGCTGGGTCCCCCAGTGGGGAACAGCTCTTCCATGGCTCTGCAAAGAAAAGAGCGAAGTTCAACAGTTTTTCCTCACAAAGCAGACACTGTGGTGTTAGAGCAGGAAGGATCAGGAGGCCTAGAAAGCAAGGAAAGGGCAGTCAGGCTGGTCGCCAGGGATCTGAGCTGCAAAGCTCTCTCCTTCCCTCTGTGGTGCTAGCACTTTCCCAGCTATTTCCTTAGAGCAGCACTTCTCAAAAAACGTTCTTTAGAGAGGAGAATTCCTATCTTCCTGCAGCAACAGAGGAGGAAGCCAAGAACTGCCTGCACCAAATCTCTAGGTTTTATCTCCAAAATTTATGGGACTCATGCATTCTACCACATGAGTATATCAGCCAGGGTTTCAAGTGGAAAGGTGAGGCAACCTTCCAGGCCACCACGGTGGACTAGACACTCTTCCCACACCAGGGACTCACTTTTATTGCAGTGGCTCCTGCTGCCAGAACATAGGTCAGCTCATTCAGGAACTCAGTCTTGCAGTTACTGCTTCTAGCTGCTGCCAAGGAACTCCCTTGCCCTTCCCCATTGCGTCATCCTCAGACTTGGCTACAGGCGCATCTGCTTGGCCATGCCTAGGCCACACATGTACACGCTTTAGCTGCAAGGGAGGCCAGGAGGGCAGGCCACTGCCACTTTCCACTCCCATCAGGATACGCAGGCTTTACCCACCCTTCTCACTCACATCAGGACTCTATGGGGGAAGGAGAGGTTGGGGTTGGGAGAGGGTACAGCACACCTAGAAATAGGCAGGAGAATGGATATGGAACATCTTCTAAAATAACACTTTCATATTTATCCGATGAAGGTGTGGGATGTATTGCAAAAATTCTCCCTGGATAATTCTGACAATCAACCTCACCTCCAGTGAAAACTGCTTTTTAACACTTTTAAAAAATGTTTTAAATTTTAAGAGTTGCGCTTTTGTCCCCAAAACCATCGCATTCAAGGGCAGCTTTCCTTGGATCCCAAGAGAACCAAGTTCCACCAGTCCTGCTTTAACTCAGATGGGCCTGTAGCTGATGCGTGACTCACTTGCCCTGGGCCTCCCACCACAGAAAGCCTCACACCAGCCATCCTTGTCTCTCACAGGCCTCCAGGGTGTCGGAAACGGGATCCGGAAATGGCAGAAATTAGAAGGAACTGACCATCATGGTAAATTCTCTTTTTCTTTCTATTTTCTTTTCAAACTTTGGAATTCAATATATTGAAAAATAACTGTGGGCTTTCAGGTCTGAAACCCCCTGCCACCTCATGGTAGCTGTCTATCTTCTTTCTTTTCCATCTTTTCTCCTCAAATAAACTGTCTTTTTTTGAAAGCAAGGGAGAGAGAGAAGAAAGAAAGAAAGAAAGAAAGAAAGAAAGAAAGAAAGAAAGAAAGAAGGAAAGAAAGAAGGAAAGAAAGAAGGAAAGAAAAAGAAAGAAAGAAAGAAAGAAAGAAAGAAAGAAAGAAAGAAAGAAAGAAAGAAAAAACTAGAAGAAGAGCTTGCATTCATTTAAAGACTAGCCTTTAGACATTTAAGCACTGAGCAAAAGGTGGCTACTGTGACCCAGACCTTTCCAGGGCTACTGTGACCCTGGAAATTTTCCCTGGCATCAGGGACCCTACTATGCTGGAGGCTGTTGCTGACTATAGCAGGCCTTACTCTGTGCCCTTCAGAGATTAATTAGGCCAGCCTCCTTTAGCAGTGCACATGACGGACATGTGAGCACTCCAGTAAGAATCAGATCTCCACAACCACAGCCCCATTTAGAATCCCCCACCGACTCCAGCCAGGTAACCCTGGAAGCTAATGGCAGGATTGTCAATGCCAGTCTGAAGGTGCATGCTACAGGACCCTCACCGAATGGGAAATGAGACTACACTTGAATAAGACCAAGTATCTATGCTGTACCATCCTTTCAACAGTAATACAAGGAAGGAGGAAGTTCCAAAGTAAATTCATCCATTCATTCCTGCAACAAATACCTTTAGTGCTTTCTTTGTACCAGGCACCATTTTAAATGTGGGAGATGAAAAGGGGAAGAAGACAGTCAAGAACCCCTGTTCTGGCACCACATTAAAATGAATGCAATTATAGCAACATTTCCTTAAGTGGAGTTTCAAAATCCTGGCAGGGAAGAGCCCTCCTGTGTACTCTGTCCTGATCACGAATAAGACTCAATTTTAAGACAAGTCACCTGTCCCCTACCAGGAGACCACCCCTCTCTGTCCTGGGTATGCATGGGTGCAATGGCTTACTTGCCCTTGTTACCGGGATTGTCAGTTGCTAGACATGCCTGTTTTAACTTGACTGAGGCAGACACTGTAGCTAACATAGCTGATGTGGGTTAGTGAGAATTATAATAAGAATCAGACTTCCAGAAACCAGACAGCCACAGAAATAGCCATGCATGGCATTCAAGCTACACCAGTGTGTGGGTAGGTGAGTGGGCAAACCAAGCCATGGGTGGGCACCAAGAGGCACTGTCTCCTTGTTTATTGTAGCTCTCTCCTACCCTGCCTGAGCCATCTGACTCTCATGTTTGGGCTCTCTGGGAAGTATTGAAATATTTTGCATTTGCCCTATTTTTTCCATCTTCCAGGTTCCTGATTTGGGGAGGAGGGAAGGTTAGTGGGATGATATTGTTTAAAAAATGCTACATGATGCAATAACTATTACAAGTTCAGTACAAGACTCTCATCAAAGACACAAAGTGTGTTTTAGTATGATATGTCAGTCTATAAAGAGAATGATTAAAGTAGTTCTTGCTAAACTGCCCGAAAAACTGAGAACTTGGGTAAATGCAAGACTAGGGAGAGGCTCTACAGAGGTCTTGAATTCAGATAAGATGATTCTGCTATTCTACCAATATATGTAGTTTAAAGTAAAATTTTATTTTTTTTATGGAATGTTTACATGCATCCAGAAATTAGAATTTTTCTCATGCTAAAACTCAGTTCACAGACATGGAAGCTGATTCTTTTGCAAACTTGCCTTGTTTGTACCGAAGGCAGCTAGCCAGCAGGCTGCCCAGCCTGAGCAACTGCATTGCTTTCATCTCAGAAGGAAGCAGCTGATGGCATGTGCTGGTAGAGTGTGTGCGCAAATGTGGCTGAATATGGCGTTGGTCCACTGGGGCACATTTTCCCCCTGTTGCTGCCCTGTACACTCCCTGGGCTTGGGTGTTGGTGGGGGAGGGGGACTGGAATGCTCCAAACTTTTGGAAGCAGCAGGTGTTTGGGCTGAGTCGTGTGTCGTCCCCCCCCCCCCACACACACACCCAGCAACGGGCTTCCCCTGTGGTGATTGGCTGCTTTCCTTGGTCCTGGCCAAAGTCTGCCTAGCAGCACCGGGTCTGATGCCCTAGAGCTAGAGGGAAACCAATTGTGCAGCTCTGACTATAAATACCCTGCAGAAGCTATGCCAGCCAATCACCCTCCTTGAGGATTCCCTTTACGGATCCTGTTTCCTCCTGGAGATGCGGCCAGCTGTGCCCACAGGAGGCAGCCTCCTGTCCTCGCCTGAGTCTGACCCGGGGCTGCAGCCCAGAATGCCACCTCACCCTCCATTGGCACACAGAATGGAGCTGGCCTCACCAACTAGGGGCCTCAGGGGCCTGCCTGAGTCTGTTGCTAGGAGGTTAGAGCAGGCAGGCTTCTCTAGGACAAGACACTGGATGGATCACAAGTTCAGCCCAGCTCCATCCCTCAACCACCCGCCCTGGCTGGCTTCTGCTTGGGCCCAGGCACAGGAAGCGCTGAGTGGCTGATTGATTGGCTGAACACAGGGACTCATCGGAATAGAACCTATCTGGGCCATTGTCCTAAAGGCATGCTGATTCCCAGACTGAGGCAGTGGTCTCAGTGGTCACTTCCAGTGGTAGACCTCCTGCAGGGCAGCTGAAGACCAGAGGCAGATGCTGCAGGCCAGGGTGGCAGGGTGGCAGAACCTGGTGCTGTCACATCTGGGCCTTCCTGAGCCACTCTTCCATCCCTCTGAAACAGGTATTTAAGGGCAGCCTCAATAAAACCAGGTTCCAGCCACAGCAGCAGCTATAAAGACCAGATAAAGTAAAGCTCATGCTTTGGATAGGAAGGAAGGGAAGGGAAGCCTAAGGTTTCCTCTCAGTGATCTATGGCAGGAGCTGGGCCTCTCTCTACAGCAGCCTGACCCACTCAGCATGGAGGACAGCTCTGTCCCAAACACAGAAATGTTCATGACGTGGGGAAAGAATTTGCACTTGGTAGGTATCCCACAATATTTGTGAAACTGAACCAAAGTGTACATCCTCCCAAACCCAAGACTAGAGTAAGAGGCAAAGTCCCACCACCCTGTCCCTGTTCTTCTCAGAGGGAAGCAGAGGCTAAGCTAGGACACTTGGGGTAGTTCCCTCCATGGAAAAGCATGAAGACAGAGAGGCACGCAGGCATGGGAGAGCGCTTTGGAAACTGGGGGTGCCAAACTCAGGACTTCAGGTCCACAGACCCTGGGAGGCGTCACCAGCTTCTCCTGTGAAGCCCAGCCTTTGCCGGCTGCTGCTGGGAGGTGTATGGGGGTACGTGCACATGGGCTCACAGACACTGGCCACCCTATGCAAGTGTGTAACTGAGCTGGTTTACAGGGTATTATATGATGGTCATGTGCACACAGGTGTGCACGTGGCTCTGCACGTGCTTAGGCCAGGCCTTTGCATGTGCTCGGCCCCTGCCAGCCTGCCTTTCTGCAGATGCACACAGCTCCCTTTTCTGCTCAGGGAAAATTCCACCATGGTCCCAGTGGTCACTGCAGGCCTCCCTGTCTTCCTTAAATAGGAAACCTGGCAGAGAAGCAGCACCCTCAGCAGCCCCAGGTCATCACTTCCTATGACAACCAAGGTAAGTGATTCTCTGCTAGCTGTGACCTCTCCTGTGGCCATGTGCCTGGGTCTGCCAGCCCAGCCAGAGATGGCCCGGGGTGTGGAGTTCAGGCTGGGAGGGGTAGGTTCTCCTGCCTTGTGGAGGTTGGAATATCCTTTTTCTCTCCCTGTATGCCACAGCAAGCATTGAACGGCTCTGTGGTCCAAGTCTGCCTTTCACTTGCATCAAGAAATGAAATCCTTGGGCCATGGAGCCCCAGCATCGTCATCATCGCCATCGTTGTCATCACTATACTGAATATTTATTGAGTGCTAACTATGTGCCAAGTGTTCTGCCAAGCCATTTACACAGTTATTCTTGTGTACATTAAGCTTCACAGCAATCCTGTTTGATAGATACTCTCACTGTCCTTATTATTTATACATAAGTAAACTGAGGCTTGCAAAGGCCGTCATGTATCCAAGATCACATGGCCAGCAAGAGTCAGCTGGCACTCTGATCCCTCTCCCAGAAAGGCTTCAGATCTTAATCTCCACCTGGCTCGGTTTCTGCAGCTACCCTGGAAACCGTCTCCCCCTGCTGGCTCACGGTGTCTAAGTCCTCTTTTGTCCCAGTCACAGCAGGTCCTTGGCCTTGCCTCCAGAGACTGAGCCTTGCTGGGGCGCTCCACACACAGCTGAGTCCGCTGCAGCAGGGCGCAGTGCTAGGGCCCTTCCTTGGGAATCTTCACTGTCCCAGGACAAGCTGTGAGGGGTAGAGGAGGACCAGCCAGGGCCTCACCAGGCTGACTGCAGTTGACTGATCTGTGAACATGACACTGCTGCAGGGAAGGCCTGGTTAGAGACTCCAGTGCCTGCCTGCCATGTTGCATTATGTATCCATAATGCAACTACTTTGTATTAGAAACTCCAACCCGGTGTCTGAGGGCTGTGATAGGTCCAGCTCTAAGAATTACCATCATTACTCTCGGCGCTGATGTCCTAACCCACAAGCAGTCATCTGATCAAATCAAGGGGGCAAGAAGGCATCTGATCAATCAATAGGCTCCTTCAGAAGCAGAAAGTTTTGGGGACTCACAGCCACTCAGAGGATTGCTCTCTGAAATGTTGGCGACCCAGTATCTCTGCAAGACATTGTCCCGTAGTGAGAAAAGGCCAAGCAACCCAGGACATTAGCAAGAGGGAGCCAGCTCTCACAGTCTGGATGCATCAATGTCCCTTGAGGCTACAGTTCCTGGGAATACAGCTCCTGCACAGGTGAGACCACTGACCTCAGAGATACCTCGCTAGAAGAGGGTGGGTGAGCCACCACTTATCCCACTTAGTGAACAAAGCAAAAGCTCCTGCCTTTGTGGACCTGGTATCCTAGTGAGGAGAGGCAGTAATCCCAACAAGGAAAATACAATGGGTCAGATAAGGCTGAAGGAGATAATAAAGCAGGAATGAGGATAGGGAGTGAGGGGGTGTGCCGAGTTATATATTGGAATTCTGCAGTTGCTATAGCAAATTTCCACAAACCTCAAAGCTTAAAATAATATAGACTTACCCTCTTACACTTCCAGAACCTTCCAGAAGCTTCTAGCTAATGTCAAAGTATAAGCCAGGTTGGCTCCTTTTGGAGACTCCAGCAGAGAATCCACCCCTCCCCTCTTTCTGCTTCTATTGACTGCTAGAATCCCTTCCCTTAGGGCTGTTATTCCAGCCCCTGCTTCCATGACCACATTGCCTTCTCTCCTTTTCAGTAGTCAAATCTCCCTTTGTCTCCCTCTCCTAAGGCGGTTGCATTTAGGCCCATACCAGATAATTCGAAATAATCTCACCATCTCCAAATCCTTAACATAGCCATATCTGCAAAGTGGTAGCTCTCACAGGTTCCAGAAACTCTGACATGGGTGTACTCAAAAGCCATTATTCAACCTTCCGTGAGGGCCCATGCAAAATCAAGTAACCACTGAGTATAACTCAGTGGTTGAGCACTTGCCTAGCATGCATGAGGCTCTGGGTGTGATCTTAGGCTTGAGAGAAAGAAGAGAAGAAAAGCCTCACTGAGGAGGTGTCATCTGAGCAGTGGAGAAGGTAAGGGGAGGAGAAACCATGGAACACCTGGGAAGAGCTATCTGCAGAAACAGCAAGAAGTGTGAGGCCCAAGCAGGAGTGTGGAGTGTATCAGACATGTTCAGGGAGCAGGGACTCTGTCAGGAAGGGGAGGGAGGGATATGCAGAGGGTGGGGGACAAAGATGAGTCATCAGAAAGGCCATGGGGCAGGATTTGCAGGGTCTAAGGGCTCCTCTTCATGTCCCAGTTATAAATGTGGCAGCGTGTTACAAAAAGAGCTAAAGAACACCTAAGTCAATGATGCCAAGTATCTAACATGAGCTCCAAAGCTCCTGAACACGGATATGTACCTACACATGCATGTGTGCTCACACACGCTCACACTCACGCGCATGCACATGCCTGACAGTCTTTGTTAATTGATCAGTGCTCCAGGCAGCCACTTCCAATCAGTTGGAGTTACTTAACAATGGGAAACCTGTTTGCCATCCCTGCCTTAGGTATTCTGAGCAAATTAGACCTTTACACAAGTCCTGATTGAAACCTGAAAAGAATATGTCAGGTGGGAGAAATCTCCCACAAGGTGAAGGCAGGCCCACGGCAGTACACAACAACGTGTTTGGGCTTGCCAAGGGCATTTCTGCTTCTGAGAAGGCAGGGAAAAAAGAAGGTAAGCAGGTAGGATTTAGGAAAAGCATTTGGGAGCCACTTCATGGGGCAGTGAGAATCCTTCACATGCTTGCACTAAGACTGCCAAAGCTGCAGTTTCAGAAATGCTATCTGGATGAGAGCTGGTAAGCGAGGGAGAGATGACACGAGAGAGGGCAGCCTGGCCACCTGACGTCCCAGGAAGTGCCTCCGTCACACTTGGTGTGATAGTTAATGGTCAAGATCAGTGAGATGGCGTTTAGGTATGACTGTGAATTTTGCTCCAAATGCTGACTTTCTATAATTGGAAGTTGGTCAAATTAACATTTTTCTTAAATTAAGAGTTTTATTTGTTATAAGAATGTCAGAGTCGGCACACTCTGCTCAGGTAGGAAGCATGATTTACTGATGAAAGCTACTCAGCTTGAGACAGCATGCCCACCCCAAACCCAGTTCTTGGAGCTGGAGAAACCTCCCAGAAGTTCCTTGGTGCATCTGTTAGGGAAAGCAGAACTTATGCTCCGCACTGGGCAGGAAGGCCAAGGCTTTCTTCCTCTCCTCGAGGTGTTGCTGAGCAGCAGCACAGCTCTGGAGAAGAGCCAGGACATGAGACTCTGGAGAACTTGGACGCTGGTCCCTGTCCAAGAGGAAGAACTACAAAAAAGAGAGGGAGACTGGAAGTGGTGACTGAGCGTATTAGACCTTTAGACAAACCCCGGCTGAAACCTGCAGAGACCTGGAGAGAGTATGCTAGTGAACAGTGGGACGCCCAGTATGAAACTGTCTCATTTCAGCCCTGGGAGGGCATTTCCAGTGCTTTGTTTTTCGGCTCGATCATTCTTTGGCAGAGAGACATGGCTGACCTGGGAGTGGCTGGAAGTACCTGGACGTGATGAGAAGGTTGGGAGCGAGTTTTGTTGCTGGACCCTCCATCCACGATATGTTCACTTTCACAGCTCCTGAGACCTGTAGAGAATGATGCAGTACAGCACTTTCCAAGCTGGGTTTGACAACGTAATATTGGGTCAAACAGAGTTTTGCTGCAAAACTCCTCAGAACACTGTGAGTTGGGACCCACAAGAGTGGAGAGTGAGCATGTTTCTCCATTCACCTTTCACAAGGCATCTTGTAGCCACGAATCACTTGGTGCTCACTTTGAAAAACATCTCAGAGTGTTTCGGGTGGAAAAAGTGAAAAAGCAGAGAACAGGCCCATGCCTCGTGCACCAGGGGAAGACACACAGTGGGCACGTGCTGCTCAGGGGGCATCACCTGACCCTATGACCAGAACGGAGTTTGAACTCTGAATTAGTGTCTTTATTATGAAATCACAAGGCTGAAATTCTGACAGTGAATACACTAGAAACTACACTTCAAAAATGAGTGTTAATTCCAGCACTGGGAGGCTGAGGCAGGAAGATGTCAAGTTAAAGCCCAGCCTGGGCAACTCAGATTTGAGACAGGGAAACCCTGTCTCAAAATAAAAAGTAAAAATAACAAGAGCTAGAATGTAGCTCAGCAAAAAGACAATGGGTTTTATTCTTTGCGGCAAATAAAAAAGATTAACCCCTTCAATGCAGTACCCCATGTTTGTTAACTGTTTTGGGAACTGGCCTTTTTGGTATGCCGAGCAAGTTTCTGAACTACACCAGAATATCAATATTGCTTTTCCAATAAAATAATTGCAACACATTTAGCAGACAAAGTGTTAATAAAAGGAGCTTTTACAAAATCTGTAAGAAAAACATAATAAATCAATAGGAAAATTGTCAATTTATAAAATAGGAATTTAAATGGCAAATAAATATAGGAAAACAATATTACACTAAAAACTAAATGCACAAAAACAGAGATATTGTTATTCATTGATAAAATGTAAATAATTGATAAAGCAAATGTCAGTATCAGTAACCTGTTTTTGCATTATGCACCATCAGAAATTCATCTGCTGAAAACAATGAGAATTCACTTAGCTTGCAAGTGTGCAGGTTGCTGCGTTGTTCTCCAAGGAACCATACCCAGCTGGTTGCAGCTCTTGGCTGGGCTTGTGCATGTGTTGGCTGTCAGCTGCTGAGCTAGCTGGAGACCAGCTGGTCCTGGAGAGCCTCACCTGAAAGGCTGTGCTGCACTCCATGCATTGTCTCATCCACAACCCGGCCCACCCACAGGGCAGTTGTGGCGGGGATCCCAAGAATGAGAGCCAGAGCTGCAACATCTCTTGACAACAAGGCTCAGGGCTTATGTAACAGCCCTTCTGCCACATGCTAATTGGCCAAAGTAAGGCACAAATGCAGTCTAAATTCAAGGAGTGAAACA